ACACACACACACACACACACACACACACACACACACACACACACACACACAGCAAAACTCAATTCTTCAAAGTTTCCTTATTGAAAGAAACTAAAAGACACAATACACAAAATAGCGTGACATTTAATGCACCATGAGCTCTGAGCCTTTTTCTGGCCAGTAGTTGAAAAGAAGAGATTGAAGGACAGATGGATGTAGTTGAACTATAATGATAGGAGAACGTGAGATCTCTCCTCAATTCCACTTTGACTATTCAGTATTACTCTTCAAACAGTTGCTCATCTTATCTTTGGGCATTTTCTTTTCTATATTAAGTGGTGAGAACTCATGCCTCACTCCCTAGATTTGTACACTTACTGTATCACTTTTATTGACTGTGTCCTAGACGAACAGTGTTAAAGAAACCTTTGGTTGTCTGAGCAGATAGAGTAGTAATTTGTGGAAAAAAACTCACAGAGTACATTGTGAAGTTGTAGAAGTTTGTTTATCAAACAGAATTTTACCAGAGTTCATATCAGCCTATTTTACTTGATGACAGATATACATACATGAAAGGAACACTCTTCTCCACAGGTATTTTGGTGACATGAGTCTATGGAAGACATTTTTCCAGTTCATGACACAATGATTTTTTGTGTAGCAGTCCCTATGTAGGAAGTTTCTGGAAATACGTTTTCATCATCAGGACATATACCCTTAGCTGGAACAACTTCTGCCTTCCCTTGTAAGGCAGTATTGCCTACAGGAACGAAAGTCAAAGTGTTAAATGATGAACTCTACATAGCTTCATCCACACCTTCCTCTGGATTTAGCAAAGTCTGATTCCACTTCCTTTATGCAAAGTAAAAATTGCTGTTTGAATTCCCTTTATTCAGTGTCAGCATCCTCTGTCCCCTCATGGGTTTTTTTTTTTTTCAGTTTGGTTTCTCACCAGCATACAATCACTCCCCACCCCAATTCTTCCTGCTAGGACCTGGTTTCTTTTATTCTCTTCCTACTAGGATCCAATCTGAAAATCATTGTTATCCAACATTCATAAGCAGGTAGAAAATGTTACCACTTACTAGAGACTTGAATATCCCAGAAGTAGTTGTTTACACTGCAAAGGCAGGAAGTGTAAATAGCATGAGAAGAAAGATACTTGATATTTGGATTGATCTCAGTACTAACTTTCACCTGAGTGAAGAAAGAGAGGAAGGGATAGTGGCAATATAGAGATGGCAGCCAGAGTTTGACTATTCAGCAAAATATGAAATTCACAGAGCACCGTGGGTAAGACATATTATTTTTTTTAGCCAATGGTATAAATTTTTCAATCAATCATCAGATATAAGTAATGACTTCTTCTTCATGGTTTAAGCAATGTACTCTGCTAAAAATGCAATAGAAAGAACTTCAGGGTATATACCCAATACCAAATCAAAAATCATTTCTTTTAGCATCATTTTTATCTGGGTAAATATCCAGAACTCTTATATTGTGGCTTTTGGCATGACTAACTTTTTCCAATTCTCCTTTTTCATGATTTTTAAATTCAGTTTGAAAAAAAGATTTACTTATTTTAATTTTATGTGGGTCAGTCGGCATGTGTACTCAATGTCCACACAGACTATAAGATGGTGTCAGATGTCCTGGAACAGCTGTATGGCTGTGAGTCACCAGGAGTACTCAAGAACAAGTGCTCTTAACTCCTGAAGCACATCTCCAACCCTCAAGCATTCTTCTTGTATCTCTTTTCTAAGAGACAAAAGATAATTTTAAAGGAATTGGTAAAGAAATTGAGCAGGTAGGGAAGAATTTGTAACAACTAAAGAAGACAATAGATTCAAGAAGGTGAGAACAATATGTATCTGTGCTTATTGAGGACAAGTAAGTTCTCACACTGAGAGACAGTTCACAGTCACCTGACTCCTATATTTCTTATAGCTGTCTGTATCTTCTTGACTCTCCATCGTTAACTGATGAGGTGGAGAGAGCAGGTGAGTAGAGACAGGACCATGAGTCCAATAGTGTTTCCTGGTCACTGTCACGCAGGCATACTTATCTTTGTTACATTGCCATTTTCCTTGATTTTTACTCTTCCTATTTTTTTCCTCTAAATTTTCATCTTATTTCATTGTGAAAACCCTTAGCCCACAATTCAAAGTTGTCACCTGTCATCTTCATGACACTATAATGTTAGCTTTAGGATAGAATTTGTAACACATACATTTCTAACATAATATCTCTGAGTTTCAAATCTACATATACAGAAAAAAATAAAAAGGGCAATTTTGGGAAAATATTAAATCAATGAAAGTTTCTATTGAAGTTTTTTTTCATGTTATCTCTCAATTATTCACTTACCGCCCTGCATTGGGCCACATTATTTCTAACCTGGAGGGTTGCCATAAACTGGTTTGCCTTCTTCATTGGAGAAATGTTCATATCTAGTGAAAGTGGTTTGTTCCTGTATAAGCAGAAAAGGTAGAGACACTATTCAGATTGAAGTTAGAAGACTTAAGAGTTTTGGTATGAATAGGCAGACAGAGCTCCATGGGTCAAATGTCAGGGAGATGCTTGGAAGTTCAGCACTTCATTCTGGAAAGACCCTTTGCATATGATTTCTCCCAAAGCATTCCATATTTCTTGCCAACACATCCAATACGATGAGGCAAATAGAAGTCAGAATAGACAGTCACAGTCCTGATCACCAGGTGAATGTGGGGACCTGAGGAAACAAAGTTACTTTTTCTCTTCTGTCCCTAGTCATCATTCCAGGGTGGAGATTTATGACTTCAGAGTCTCCCTTAATACACTCACCTTTCAGTTTTCCTTCTACATTTTTTTTAAAATCCTTCAAATGACCTCTTTTCCAAAAGTAGAACTTGGAGAAGGATATTATATGCTAAATTTGTCATATAAATGAACGTGTCCTCACAGTAAAAACTCATGCACCCCAGTATTTTTTGTTTGGTTCACTGCTCTTTAGGCCTGACATAAGGCACATAAGACATTCTAGTTGACAAAAGTTACATTCCCAACTCAAATTATCTTGACATTATTCCCTCTAATGCCTAGTCCTCTGCCTCTCTACTAAAACTTCTTTGGCACATAAAATTTCCCCATCCTAATCTCCATGGTTTCATTACCATCTGGTAGATTCTCCTTTCCCATATGATTCTGCACACTGCTTGCTAGTAGACTCTGACATCTCCCTGTAACTCAATACAACTCTTGTTAAATATCGTAGAAAATTTTACATTCCATTTTCTCTTTGTAAGAACTGAGAATCTGATTTTCTTTTCCTATTTAGTCATAGATTTATAGAATAATTTTTATCACACAACAAAGCTTATGTAAAGAAACAGGCTTGTTTAAATAAATGTGCTCCAGGCATGATTAGCAGAGTCCTGCATAGAAAACTTAATGAGGACATAAACCTTTATTGTACAATTTAGATAATTCTTCTATGAATGATTTATTAGTTTTGTTTTTTGTTGAGGCAAAATGTTTGAGTTTGTCACCAGATGAGTCATGAACATACAATCCTTTGCTTCTATACACCAAATATAGAATTAGAGATTAATCTTAACCATAGCTTAACCAAAAAATATAAGCTAAGCTCATCTCTCCTCTCATACTTACCATATTGATGAGAAAGAGTGTAGTATAACCAAAGATGATACTATAATCTAAGCAGAAAGTCAGTTTGAACACAATCTTTCAGTTGTTACATAGACATTTATTCATAGAATATAGGCTTAAGAAGCTACATATTGTTTCATAGTATAGAAACTTGAAAAGTGAAACATAGAACCACAAATTGCAGGAATCCAATATGTATCACCACCAACTGGGAAGATATTTCTAGTAAGGTTCTGCAGAAAAGAGAGGGCCTTACCAATTGCCTTGACCATAAGCAGGCCCCAAAACTAAGCACAAAATCAAGAGATGCACAACAGCTCTGGGATGATAGAACATTTGAAGAGAAGCCATGCTGTAAGAGTTGACACTCACAAGCCTTGGCCATCTGAAACCCAAATTTCTCCTTTTATTTGCAGCAGGAACACAGTGAAGCAGCTGCCAGGTCCACTTAAATAAAATCGTCATATGTTAGGATGCCTCCCATTGTCATCTTGTCTATTCTTTTGTAACAAAGGTGAGTATCCATCTGGATCTTCAAAATAGATTACAGTGAATCAAAAATAAGATATTTCTCTTTTGTCAGTGTATTAGAATGTTCTTAGATTATTAGAATTGATCCTGTCCCATTTTTTTAAAACAAGATCTGTTCTTTTTTATCCTTTGCTTTCTAATCTGCTCTTACTTTGGAAATATGTAACTCTTAATCACCTCTCTTTTTCTTCTAGATGTCACAAACTATCACCTTCCTAGTAACTCAGAAAACTCTAACTTAAAAATATTCTGCAGTTGAGTAATAGCCAGCATATTATTATTACTTAACTCCTCTGATTTGTGTTTTTAGGTACAGGGGATTTTCTCTAGGAGATGATATTTCTTCCTTGCATTCAGAGTAAGTTTCTTAAAAACTCAAAGCATGTATTTACAAAGAAATCACATGTAAATAGGGAGTTCAAATATATTTGATATCATTTTAACCATATCATGAGAGAGCAAGAACTGGACAGCTTTGTTTCTTGTATATTGGTTCTTTCACAAGATTTGGGAGCACATAAGATGTTAGTGAGCATAATTTAGAAGGCTCCAAAATAGAGCTTCTCAACCTAGTTCTCAGACTCTATCACTTCTGTTACTACTCTGCCTAGTTTTTCCTCACTGGGGTGTACAGGTGTGGAGAGAGATGCCAGACTCCACTATTAAAGGAAATTTGTGGTCATCTCTGTGGTGCTTCGAGATAATATGAAAGATGAAGAAACTCACAAAGCGTTAAAGTGAACAGTAGATCTATGGATTTGCCTACTTACCATTGAGGTAGGAGAGTCGTGGTATCCTGAGATAGATGACTAGGTGCTATCCCAGAATGGAGGGCCGGGATAACTCAGAATTCAGAGCGTCTGCTAATCCATGATTCTCCTTAAGACAGAGTGCTTAGGTTATAGGATCTAGAGATGGCCTATAGCTTGAGATGGCATCTGTTTCATTTTTATTTTATTAGATCAGTGTTACCTATGGATTTGGAGGAGCTACTGTCAAATGTCAGATGCCATGCACCCTAAAATGTTTTTCCCCCTTAAGTAAATGTATTAAATGAACTACCTCACTTTATATTCCCTAAAATTCATTTTTCATCTTCTTTCATTTTTCTTTAATGTTTTTGTGAGGATTCACTATGTATTTCATTGATTTCTTATAATTTTTAAAGTTTCTATTTCATGAAGTTCAAAAAATAGAAGAAATATGACCAGGATTAACAGGTCATTGTTCAGTGACTGAGTCCTAGAAGACAGTTCCAGGAGATCAGAAGATAAAGAGGATAGAAGATAGAAAAGATAAGAAAGTTTAGGGTCAGGAGGTCTTCTAAAAGATATGTCTTTTGCCAACCAACTTTATTATGAAGTACATTTTCTTATGTACTCTTTCTGGGGAAGAAATCGGAAGAAGGTAGTAGAACCAATCATATGTAGGATGGAAGGCAGCAAGAAACTAATAAAAAACTGTTGCATGAGGGGAACACCATATCTTCAGAACATCACAGGCTGAGCACGCAGCATTCTGGGAACTGATAGTCATATCCCCATACTCAGTGAAGATTTGAAATCTCAGCATATCTATATACATCAAGGCCTCAGGAGAAAGCTCTCAAAGCCATGGCCTTAGGCTATTTTGGCTCTACTAAGCACATTCCTGGTTTTGAGAAGAAGCTATGTCATTTCTGTATGTATTGGGGTCTCAGAGAAGGGCACAGTTGATCAAGCAAGCTTTCAACAGAGAATAAGATATGGTAACTGAGGGGTGAAACATAATCAAAGTATGTTACATATGTGTATGGAAAATCCTGGCACCTTGTTTAACCTCAGAAGCTACTCTTTATCAAAGATTAAGTAACAGCTTTGCCTCTAAGCATATCAGTGAACAATGAGAAAAAGCATATGGAAAAAGACATCTAAGATTAAGGGCCGTTTTAGGGGTAGTAACAAAATATAATCAAATAGAAGCTCCCTAAGAGTATACATAAAGAAAAGGAATCCAAATTTAAAAAAAAACAAATAATTGGGGAGACAGAGCCCCCAAATGGCCATAACACCCTACCAAATGAAGTTTCCGTTACTGGATTGGATTACAGCTAACTGAATTGTTGGCTCAAGGAGTCCAGTGGAAATTCCCAAACAACCCAGGCTATTGCCAAGACTATAGATTGTTCCTCAAAATTTAACAACAAAGCCCCATTGCTAAAGACAAGACCTACATAACTCACTGAACATGGAGAATTCTAGGTGCTGCCAACATAGAGACTTTATCTCTATATTATAAAGCCTTTCCTACAGAAAGGTACTCTGCAGCTACCAAAGAAGATGCATAAGCACCAAACACAGACACAAACATGTATTCTAACAATGGAGTCCTGGCTACAAAATATGCTAGTGCAATCATGACCCAAAGATTCTGGGAGTAACTATTTAATATCTGATTTGACTTAAGTCCTTCTTCACCAGACAGAACTCATATGACATACTGGTTAGGTGACCAAGAATCTGAGACTAGAATGCCAAGAAACTATGGTAAATACAAGTACTAAAACCAAACCAAACCAAACCAAACCAAACCAAACCAAACCAAACCAAACCAAACCAAACAAAAATGTAACAAAAAATGACTTCTAATGACACTCATTTACATTCATAGATAAGTATCTTGTTTAGTCAATATTAGAGAAGCTTACTCCTGTATCATATGGGAACAAATGCAGAGACACACAGCAATATAACATGCAGAGACTGAGGGACCTTGGAACACTTAGGACTAAAAGAGATGTCTCCATCAAATTTTTCCTCAATGTGCAAGGAATTCTGCAGAGGAGGAGGCAGAAAGAGTGTAAGAGCTGAAGGGGACAAAAGAAACCAACAAAACAAGACCTTCTAAATCAGCAGGATCAAAGCTTCTATGAATTCAGAGACTGAAGGAAAATGTATAGGGCCTGCATGGGTTTGCTTCAGGTCTTCTGTATATATATTGTGGCTTCCTGAGTGTGCAAATGGGTGTGTCTCTGTGTTTTAGACATCCATCTGTTTGTTTGGTTTTTTTTTTTTTGGTGTTTTGAGTTTGGGTGTTTTTTTTGTTTTGTTGTTTTGTTTTGTTTTGTTTTATCCAATTCTGATGTGTTAGTTTGTTTTATTTTATTTGATTATTCTACTGTATTTTATTATTATTCTTTGGAATTCTGTTTTCTAATGAGACACAATGAGGGAGTAGATTTTCATGGAAGGGAAATAGGGAGGATTTGGGATGGGTAGGTGGAAGGAAAACCAAAATTCAAATATATTATGTGAGAAAAAA